CTCCCCCCTCTCATGTGCTCTCTCTCATTCTCTCTCTCTCAAATAAATAAATAAAATCTTTAAAAAAAAAAAAAAAACACCTGTATATTGTGACAGAGACACATTTGGCTTTCTTTCAGTCTCTGGAATCACAACTTCCCCGTCTCCACTCACCCAGGGACCATCCTTCATTTGCACTGTTTGGTTCGTAGTTCATCTTTGTGGGGCTGAGCAAAGAGAAGAGAAGGAACACTTTTTCTAAAAACAAGTACAGTTGACCCTTGAACAACATGGTTTGAACTGCATGGGTCCACTTATATGTGGATTTTTTAATAATATAGTACAGAACTGTAGTATTTTCTCTTCCTTATGATTTTCTTAACATTTTCTTTTCTCTAGCTTACTTTGTTGTAAGAGTGCAGTATATAATACATGTAACATACAAAAATGTGCTAATTGACTGTTTATGTTATGGGTAAGTTTCCTGGGAACAGTAGGCTATTAGTGGTTAAGTTTTGGGGAAGTCAAAAGTTATCTGCAGGTTTTTTACCTCACAGGGGGGTCGGCGCCCTTAGCCCCCACAATGTTCAAGGGTCAACTGCATAAAGCTACTTCAGGGACTGTGGGCAAGATGGGGGAAGGGTAGGAAGAAGGGAGGAAAGGAGAGAGAGAAAGACAAAAGAGCAGGAGATGAGAAAAGCAGCAGCCAAGATGCTGACTTTCATGGGAGAGGGAGGAAAAGAGGGCCCTAAGGGGTCTCACTGTGTGGTGGGAGAAATAATTCCCTCTCATATCCCATGCCCTCAAGACAACCTTCCGCAAAGAACCACATGGCTCTTCAGTGCTCTCTGGTTTGTTTAATTCTGTTCAGTGTGACCTGGTGCCCACCTAGCTTCCAGATAGTCCAGTTTTAGTCAAGTAATAACAGCTCTGTATGATGATTCCCCCCAAACCATGAAATATCTTAAATGCACTGTGTATAGGGAAGCAGGGAGAAATATAATGTATTTGTGAAAGAGATTCAGTAAATGGTGGGTTAAATTCTCTGACACTTAGTCATCGCTTTGGTTACATGGAAAATTCACATTAAGTGAGCACATCTCCAATAATATTAGATAAATTAGGTGTTACGGCATTTAAATTCCTAGAAATGTGGAGTTACAAAAGGTCCTTAAATAAACTTCTGGGTCCCATATTTGGCATAAGAACTATATGGTGTTTGGAAAGAGTTTTCCCTTCTGGCATAGCTAAGGTCAGGATTGGCATTATAATGGTCCTAGAAAAATAAACCTTTACATTCCAAAATTTTGACCAATTTTAGGTGAGCACTCTAACAGCTGCAAAAAGCAAGTCAAAGTTTCCAAAGCCCCTCTCTCCTCTGCACTTGAAAAGACATGTAAATGTGCTCAAATAAGGAAAAGTATGGAAAGTTTACCAGATCCCGAGGAATTCTGAAAGATCATTCAAATTTGTTATTGTCATAATTTTCACAATATTATGCTCATACCACTAAAAGGGATGAAATTCTGGTCACAAGAAGGAGGAACAGACCACTTTAAAACATCCGAAATGTTTTTCACAAAAAAGCTTCAGGAAAGTGGTAGAAGGAGATGCTTTTTACTCAAAGAATCAGAAGATTACTCCACAGGGTAAATGAGTCTAGCTAGTCTTGGCCTTGTAAGATCATGTGGAATTAGTTACAGTAACTTACATCGATATCAGGCAGTTCATCCCAATTTCAAGATCAAATAGAGCCCCCTAAAACTGAATAGGCCAAAAATACAGCGATGTTTCTCCCTGTAAATTAAAGTCACCACAAACACTGCTAGCAATTTTGGGTTCTACATCTCTTTGGAAAATGTTGGACTCTAAATGTGCTTCCAGAATGCATTTTACTACCACCATGGATTACTCATGTACATTTGTGATGTTAAATGATTAGTCACCATTTAGAATGTTCATATAGTCTCAAAGAATGTTTAGCCAGTCTCCAAGAGCACATGCCTTTGTAGGGCTCAGAAAGGGGCAGAATCTGTTGATCTACCCTTTTCTTGGGGAGGATGGGCTGCAGAAAAGCCCCGGGAAGGAGAGCCTTGATTGAAATGAGCAATAACCCACACAGCTTCATTTCTTTAACCACAAAGCATCAGGTAAAGGGATAACCCATTTGAACTTCATCATAGGATCTAAGATAAAGACCAGTCAGAATGATTAAATACCTAGGCAGAAAGCTCTGCAAATGAGGGAGAAATGAATTCATATTTTCTGGTTATTAATGGTTTAAACATTGACAAACTATACTTCTCAGGATCGGATTTCCAGAAAGAAAGAAAAAAGGGATAAATTAACATTTATTGGAGGCTTGTTGTGTTGCAGGCACCAGGCAAGGTGTTCTCCTCCGAGTATCCAAGGGAGGTGATTGCTATTATTCCCATTTTACAGAAAATCACATTCAAGTTCAGGGAAGGAAGTAAACTGCCCAAAGTCACACATAGTTGGTAAAGACGGAGGCCAGCTCTGAATTCCACCAATTTTCCCCCTACATCTTGAAACTTACCTGAAGTGTCATATACTTATTTCTTCTCATCCTGGATCAACAAAATATGTGTCCCTACTTTGTTCCAAAGTTGACCTTCACTTTTGTCTCCAGGGTCCTGCTTTCCCATGGGTCTGTGGTAGGAATGCGGCTTCAACACACTAGTTTCCTTCCACCCACATCTTCTGACCTCTGTACACACACACATGCTCAATTTTCCCATCCTGAACCTCTTCCTTAACTCATCTTCTCCTTCTAAATACTGCCCTAGTTTCCTTTCTTTTCATCCCCATACTTCATAAAAAGAATATTCTACACTCCTGGCTTCTACTTTACATCCTATATCATTCTGCAACTGGTCATATTCCAGTTTATAACCTCTTATCTCATAGAAACTTCTCTGAAAAAGGCCATTTGTAACTTCATGATTTTCAAATCCAGTGGCCTCTTCTCAGGAGTCATCCTTCTTGAATGCTTTGGAGATTTGGCCCACTCTCTACTCCTTGAAACCTGGCTTCCCTGAAAAGACTTTCCTAATTCTCTTCCAAAATCCACTGGCTCTCTTTGTTTCATTTCCTCCTCCATCTCAGCCCATCCCTTAAATACTGGAATTCCTCATGTTACCATCCTCTGTTTTCTCTTCTTTCCATGGGCTTGTCCTCCTTGGTTCCTCCAATCTACCCTGGGTTTCAGCTGCCACCAGCATACATATACGCCGAGCCACCAGCCTCTTCTGAGCTCCGTGATTGTCTTTTCCAGTTGTTTTTTGTATCTCGAAGTGGATGGCTCAGAGATTCCTCAACAAACCATGTCCAAAACTAAACTCATCCAACCCCTCCTTTCCAGTCTAGTCTTTTTCTTTCCCTGGTAAATGGTGTTGCCATCTCCCTAGTAGTCTAGGTGTTGGGGACCTCAGAATCTGCCTTGACCTCAGAATCTTCCTTCCTGGACTCAAAAGTTCTGTGTCTCTATGTCCTACGTATCCTTTGAACTAATTCCCGTTGCTCCAACACCTCTAGTCCAGCCCTTTAGCAGGTCACCTGTGTTAATGCAACAGCCTCCCAAGTGGTTTCTCTGATTCCATTATCTCGTCTTCTAATCCATCCTCCATATTGCCACCAAACTGTTCTTTGTAAAACAGGGTATTCTTCTGTTTGTAAATTTTCAGTGGCTCCATATGGACTACAGAGTAAGGCTTCAATGGCCAACCAGTCCTAGCCTATCTTTCCAACCTGAGCTTTGAGAACTTGCTCTTACTTGTAGCTGTTAATTGGCTCTAAACTTCTTTCATGCTTCTGAGGCCTAGGTTATGCTACTCATTCACCTAGAACACCCTTCTTCCTTTGGCCCACCTTCATCATCCTTCAAGGCTCCCTCCATATCTGTTATCTTTATCTTTCCCCAAACACCCACTGCCAGTCCTGAAGGAAGAACTGTTCCCATATCAGTGTTCCCATACCTCTCTTTATAGAACTAACCACAAGGCTTAATAGAGTCATTTGTTGACTCATTGCCCCACCATGAATCCTTCAAAGGCAGAGACTGCATTATTCATCTTTGTAGCACTGGAGTCTAATTCAGTGCTTGGATCATACTTGGATGCTCAATAAATCTGTGTTAAAAGAACAAATTAATAGACCTTTTCCTGTTCGTGGTATTCAATTAGGCTTTAGCTTCATTATCATAGGATTTGTGAAAACATGTCATATATCAAAGACTATAGAGCAGCTTTTCATGACACATATGGAGCTTGGATTTCTATTAAAATAGTTTTAAATTCTGATAGCTATTAAAGTGTAAACAATACATTGCCTATAATAAAAATAAATAGAGCTGATGTTCTGTCAACATTATAACTACTTTCCTTTTAAAAAAATTCATTTTCTATCATTCATTCATCCATCCATCCATCCACTCACTCCTTCATTCATACCATACTTCTTTCAAAAAGAATTTGAACTTAAATATTTTAGTTTGTTTTATCTATCAACATGTTCTATCTGCCCAAGTGTCTCTAGTCTTCCTATCTAATGCAGTTAGTCATTACTGCAGGAAAAACCTATCTAAGTCCATTAAACTAATTTTAATTCTGTATTATTTCTTGAAAGTAGACATTTATTTTTATTTGAATCAGTCTCCTAACCAGAACTTTTTCAATCCAAAAGCTAACATAGTATTTTGTGTCCTAATATTTTCCAAGATATATTAGGCAGTACATAACATAATGAAAAGTAAATCTGTATTTGAGTATATCATACTGCTAACATTTATCCTCTTATTCTGGAATGTCATTATCTTCCTGTCAAAATGAATTGCCATGGGAACAAGCCAATTTTAAGAGACACAAAATGCCACAGAATATGTACCCATGCTCACACTAAAGATAAACCCAAAGTATTTCCTTACCATCCTTTATGAAGAACAGAATGTCTGGTTTTAGGGTATGCTTCTCAGAGGATTCACTGTGCACAGCAGGTGGACTTACCCGGCGAGTTCTGGGGAGAGGACACGGGGGAGCCACGGGGGGACTGACAGTAGCTGGGGTGAAGTAAGGCATGTGGAGGCACATAAGACATTATCTCTTCTTCAAATAAACTGGGGAAAGACAAGAAACAAAATGTATACTTTAGCCAAAGTGGTGGGGAAAAGTCTTGCTTCCAAATGAGTAAGACCATCAGTTTCTCACTCTGGGTCCAGTTCATATCCCAAAGGGAGCACTCGTCCCCTCTCTCCTGTAGCTAATTCTTGGGACAAACAGCTTTTATGGAACCCGTGGTTCTGTGCCTGTTTTCCTACCAACTTTGGGTAACACGATTACTATTTTGCCACTTTAATATGTGAGTTTGAATTTACATGTTTTCTTGAACATAGTACCTGGGTTTTTAGCATTGAGAATAAGATTCAAACACAACACACAATACTTACTGAGGACCCATAATAGAGACACAAAGTATGTTCTTTATCTTCATTCTAAGAAATATATGACAGTTTTCTCAATATGCAAAGAGTTTAGGATTTAAGTGGAGAATTAAAAGCAAAATAAAACAAAACACCTCCTAAATAATTACAACTGCTCGTAGTTAGCTCCCTTGTTTACTCTGGCTTTATAATTTTTTAAATGCGAGGATTTTTATCTCAGATTATTCATATTCAATCCAGTGTCTTTGTTCTTCTCCATACTGAAATTTCTCTTTCTAGGACTCTCCTAAAAGCTAATAACCAGGGATGTGAGATCTTAGAATCTCAGACTTTTCATTAAATATAATGGTAAAAGTACTATTGATTGCACTAAGCTCTTGACACTTGACAAGACACTTGACAAATATTTGACAAAGATTTGAAACAACAATAAAAGTAAGAGGACTTGTGTTTTTTAATTAAGAGGTAGAAGTAGGTTTTCTTCAAACTTGGCCAAATCTAGAAACCTGTTAGAAAACATTCAGAAAAAAGTGGCAACAGTTCATTCTTGCAGAGATTAAGAAAAGGACTCCTAAGCACTGGTTCTCAACTGAGGCAATTTTGCCCCTTCCCACACCATTTGGGGACTTTGGAGAACGTCTGAGGACATTTTTGGTTGTCATAATTGGGAGGGTATGCTTTTGGCATCTAGTAGGTAGAAGCCACGAGGCTGATACATCTTACAATGCACAGAAGAGCTCCCTGCAACAAACATGTATTCAGCCCAAAATGTCAGTACTTTCAAAGCTATCTCTTTTGACAAATATTTATTTATTTCCCAACTTTGTGCTTTTATCAACAATGTGCAATGAAGATCCTATATATATTGCCTTGTGCACAGGCAAAAGAGTTTTAGTATAAATATGGTATATATCTAAAAGCAGAAGTGCTCAGTCATAACACATATGCCTTTTCAACTATACAAGATATTGTCAAATTGTACTCTGAAAAGTTTGTAGAAATTGCAATCCCACTAAGTCCAGACAGTATGAGAGTCCTTATTTCTCATTTGATATTATCAGACTTTTTGATTTTTTCAAATCTGATACTATGAAATACTGTCTCATTATTGTAAATTGCATTTTATGATTGCTAGCCATAAGTTTACTGACTATTCTTACTTCAATTTCTATGAAATGCCTTTTTATACCCTTTATCCATTTTTTCTTTTGGGTTCTTTTCTTCTGAATTGATGTAAAGGCATTCTCTGTATATTCACAATATCTTTGTTTTATGTGTTATGAATATATTCTTCCAGTTTGTTACCTTTATGCTTTTATATGTGGTATCTTTCATTATATAAATTTTAAAATTCTAACATTAGCCAAATATATCAATCATTTCATATATGAGCTCTGACAGATGTACATTTTTTTTTACAGGAGTTCAGTTAGTGAAAGAATATATGAAATAGAATAATCAATAACAAATGTAACAAAGTCATTTAAAAATTCTTGAGTTTTATAATAGCTATTTTGGAGAATAATCTCACATTGGCTTATTTTGAATTGAATAATTTCCTAGAGCTGTGGCATCTTGATATTTCAGCTTGCTGATAATCAAGTCCATTTGTACAAAGAGTGATTTTCCTTTTTAAAAAATAGGGGCACCTGGGTGGCTCAGTCATTTAAGCACCTGACTCCTGGTTTTGGCTCAGGTCATGATCTCAGGTTCCTAAGATCGAGCCCCACATCAGGCTCAGCGCTCAGCAGAGTCTGCTTGTCCTTCTCCTTCTGCTTTTCCTGCCCCCGCCCCGTGCTCTCCCTCTCTCTCTCTCTCATAAGTAAATAAAATCTAAAAAAAAAAAAAAGAAATAGACAAAGTATAAAAATAGATACAAAGTCTTTCACTATGTATGCAACTAGTTCATTGCTTGAGTTTATAGTCACTGATTCAAATGACTCAAACTCCAAAGTAAAATAAAAAATAAAGAACTGAGGACATCTGAAAATGTTTCAATAACTATTAAACATTATTAAGCATCCACATGTAATACATTGTGTCACCATGTACAATTATTAAATTTAATACATTTGATCATCTAAATAAAATAAGTCTAGAACTTAATAACATCATTTGCATGTAATAATTATAGAACTATTATATAATAAATGAATTTCTCACACTTCTCCAAAGGCCCATTAACTTCAGAGAACACGCTTTTTCCCCAAATGGGGGAAAATGTAGCCTTGTTCTTTATATGTATATATATATATGTATGTGTGTGTGTGTATATATACATACATATATACATACTTAAAACTGATATATATATCAGTTCTCAAATATTTTCAAATTCAACCACATAACACATAGAAACTCATGCAAACTGCAGTGTTTACCAAAGTACAAATATTCTAAGCTATACTGTAACTTAAAATATTTAGGACTATACCATCTAAAGATTATTTAACTAAGAATAGGTGATTGATAATCATGATTTCTATTTTGTAATCATTTTGTTTTTATTAATTCCAAATGCAGAATTCTTCAGTTTAAATGAAAAACATTAGATTTCTAGAATGAAGCAAAAGAGTCCTATCCTAGCCAGAATTTTATAAACAAAACTATTTTATTACCAACCAAACTATGGTAGAAACATCATATTACATATTAATTGACCAATAGTCTTCCTGACCATGTAGCACACTATATTCTGTTTTCAGGACTTGTTCAGTTCAACATAGTCATAGGTCACCCCTTAGACTGAGAAGTGACCCCTGCCTCCCAACAGGTCTTGTTCAGAATCAGGTGAAGCAAGGTCTCTGTGGGAACTGATTATATTCCTTTGAATTATGCTCCAATTATCCAGTAAAGGAAGATAATTTTTTAACTTCAGTTTTACAAGTATGGCAACTATCATGTAGGCAGTTAGAAATGGTTAGGGTCAAGTTCATCATGAATATCATGAATGAGATTGTTAGCACTCTGGGATAAATAAAACATTGTGTGGTCTGGTTCAGCATGACTTTGCCTTTAATTCTTTGGAGGTTACAGGGGTGGGTGTCCCAACTACTGGGTAGAGCAAAGCATTATTTTATTCTGGCCTCCTACATTTGAAGGATGATATTAAAAATGAAAAATCTTTTGAAAACTTGTCAGTTTCCTTTCTAAATTACTCTAAGATTTAAAACCAAAGCTGACCTAACCATCAGGAAAGAAAATATAACTGGCCAATTTTATGAAGGGCTGTCAAGTTGGCAATGAGTACCAGTGATCAAATTTCAACTTTCTGATCTAATTTCCCAAACCTAAACTCTCAAAATCATTTTAAAAAATCATGTCAAATCACCAAAAAAAAAAAAGACAAAGCACATTTGGAGGAAAGAATTTGAAAGAAAATATAAATATGATCTCTCTTTTACTCCTGTATACCCTTGTGTAAGCCCTGTATACCCTTGTGTTCCATTTTGTGAGTAGAACATTCTATCCATTGGCCTCTACTAACCTTTCCCTTCTCCAATACCACCTCATTTATCACCAGGATAAAAAAAAAAAATCAAACAGATCTCAGAATAAGAAATGCAATCTGAAATGAATTATCACTAAACCAGCATCCTACATCTTCCAATGAGTATTCCACAAGTCTTTAAGAATAATGGAGACATAGGTTACTAATACTGGCATCGTATTTTCTAAAACGCTCCATGATATCTGACGACAGAGGACTTTCTACTTCAAAAACTGGTGTTCCATACCTCAGCAACATAACAAGGTCTGCATCACTTGAAAGACGCACCAATCCTGGGGTCCCTTCAGTTCGGATAAATTGGATCTTCTCCCTATTCAAGCAAAGAAACAGCTCAGAATATATGTGGTAGACTTTTGAAACATAACTCATGGTTATGGTGTATGCCTTAGGCACCATTTTTAAAAACACTGAAAAACAACTTGGTCTCTGCTTTGAGGTAAAGCCTGTTGTGGGCTTGAATCTAAGCAACTACTTAGGTCATTCAGACTGATTCCCTGTTATTCCAAAAAGTGAGTGTATAAGGATAGTCATCTATTTTCCTGGGGGCATACCTCTAAATTATGTGTGATGAGCATATTCCTACTTGGAGGCAGACAGTATCTATTCAATACATATCCAATATAAAGGCATATGGCTCTTTGAAATAATTGAAACACTTTTAGTTACTACAGTTGGTAGAACAGATTATGTGTATACCTGTGCAAATGTATATATACTTATTTGTACACATTTCAAACACAACAATGTGAGCAATTTCTACCATCATTTTACTATAGATATATGTAAGAACACCAGGTTTTTCTTTTTGTTTGATGAGTCATCATCATGCTGCTATTTTCAAATCATTATATGAAAACAATTTTAATAAAAATTTCCCTGTTGCTTCCCCTCATTTACATGATTTTATTTCAAAGCACACCATATTCATTTTTATAAGATAAGGAAAAAAATAAGAATATAAACTATGGTACTGAAAGCATTTCATTTGATAGGTACATAAGAATAAACACAACTATGCAATTTTACTCAAAGTGTTAATTATAGTATAGTCTGATTTTTGTACACTATGAATTAAAATATTAATCTTTGATATAAGTATATTTAGATTTAGTTCCTCTTTCTAGATCATCTTGTTTTTGTTTGATATTTTCATAAAATTCTACTGCATTTTATATTTCCAAATTCCAAATCTCTTCTTAATTATTTACAAGCTTGAAGACAATGAGGTGGAAGGCAAGGTTTAACTGTTGAGATGAAAAACTCCATAATGTACAGAAAAGCCAACTGATTTGCTCTCAGCCACACAGTTTGCTAGGAGGGATAAAGAGTTCTAGATGGGAGGGGGTGGGGGATGGGTTAGCCTGGTGATGGGTATTAAAGAGGGCACGTACTGAATGGAGCACTGGGTGTTACACGCAAACAATGAATCATGGAACACTACATCAAAAACTAATGATGTAGGGCACCTGGATGGCTCAGTTGGTTAAGCGACTGCCTTCGGCTCAGGTCATGATCTTGGAGTCCCAGGATCAAGTCCCGCAATGGGCTCCCTGCTCAGTGGGGAGTCTGCTTCTCCCTCTGCCCTCCCCTCTCTTGTGCTCTCTCTCGCTCATTCTCTCCCTCAAATAAATAAAATCTTAAAAAAAAAAAAACTATAAAAAACTAATGATGTAATGTATGGTGATTAACATAACATAATATAAATAAATAAATAAATAAATAAATAGTTTGGCTGCTTCTGGCTAGATTGATTTTAAACAATATGTTAGCATATGAAGCATCTAATCTTTGGTATTGCCAAATTTTCTTTTCCGACCTTCATTACCAGGAGTTACACATACACATACCTAAGAAATGAATGTTAGACACGTATGTAAAGAAATTGTTCAGAAAGGAAAAGCCAGCCTTTCTGCTTAATTGTTTCAGTTTGAAGGCTCGAACCAACTGGAACATTTTCCCTCAAGTGTTACAATCACATGTCTGAAGCACATCACGGAAAACAGGGCCCATTATCTGATGAATGATTTTTTGGTAGAAGATATGAAAGTTGGTTGAAAAAAGCTAAGTTAGAGAAAAGTTATCTTGGAGAAAAAATGAACAATAACTTAACCAAAGAAATACTCTTATAAGGGTCAGTAATAACATGCTTTGATCTTGAAGAATCAAAAGCTATCTCCAACAAATACAGTTTATCTCCATACCCTATCATCAAAATGAGTCAGGCAAACAGAACAAACAAGAAGACAAACAGGATGCACATTCTCCTCTACTTCTCTAACTGGAGCGAGACAGAGTGAGGTGAGTGATAATAAAGATATCATACTCTGGACTGTGGCCTGTGGGTTTCCTGGGAATAGGGAAAAGATGATAGCTTTCTGAGTCACAAGAATGACAGGCTGAGGAGAGGGAAAGACACCAGAGGAAATATGCCAACTGGGGACCTTTTCATCACTTTCCAGATATTAACTATATTAGGCAGTGAAAGGAATTGGTCTGACTCTTTAGGCCAGAACATACCACAGGCAAGTGGAGGCTAGTTTTCTACAGGCCAGCTAATTTATTGCACTGATGAGCTAAGGGTCATATGCTTTCAGGAACAAGACACTGGAGCATGTCACCTGATGCATACCATACGACTAAGTACCTTCTTATACCAACATTCATTCATTCTTTCAGCAAACATTTTCTTAGTGTCTACTCAGTTAAAAGTACACACTGGAATGCAACAGGGTAGAAGACCTAGCTCCCTTCCCAAAGAGTTCATGGTGCAGTGGAAAAGAGAAAGTCAATTCTAGTATTATATGAAAATATTTTTTTTTTAAGATTTTATTTATTTATTTGAGAGAGAGAATGAAAATATTTAAGCTGTTCCATTTGCTTAAGTGAATTCTGTTTAGGCCTTACACCCACTCCTATTCCACAAAGTCCTTTCACATAAAAACAGAGGGCATTGGTTTACTGACTGTCAAGAGAGCAGATCAAGGCTGAGGAAGAGAACATCAGCAGATATCCTCAGAAATGTCGCAAATCTTTTCTAAGAAAAGCAAAACCAAACAGGAACTACTTCTTGGTTATTAGGTATTTGCCTAATAGTCCATAGACCAGTATTTGTCAAACTTGTGTTCCTGTCTACTGGAAATCTATAGACATAATCTCAAGTTCTGGGGGAATTTAAAAATTCTGTGTTTTCACATTGATGATCAAAACTGCTAATACTGAGGTAGGCATATGTTGGATAATCTGAATAACATTTATGACTGAACACTGCCATTTGCCTTCAGTTCCCATGTTTGTATTTATAAAATATTGGTGCCAAATGATCAGAGAGAAACTTTCAAAGTGTTGGTGAGCAGGCTCTGAGGTTGGCAGGGCCTTGATGTTAAGTATGATAACAGCAGTCCTTGTCTACCACTTACACACAATTCTCTTCCCAGTTAAAAAGACAAAACTTTTCTTTTGCAGTATTGATTTGCATAATGACAATGATGAAGTGAGGCAAGGTTATGTATATATAAATTGCCACAGGCTAAAGAGAAAACAAAATAAATGGATTTAAAAAGTAAACTATGCATTTATGCTAACTAAAGCACAAAAGATGTTATGGTTTATTCTAAAAGCAAAAGTTTTATGATTGTTTACAAGTAGAAAAGGAGCAGTAGAATCATCACAGGGTACATTTAATAATATATTTTTTCTTTAGCAATGTGATTGGGGGTATTACATGAATTGGCTCATCAAAACAATGAATTAGTAGATAAAAATAAAATTAGTAGGTAAATCGCAGATAAAAATAAGCTATTGGTTAAGAAAAATGTTGACCACAATATTGCCACAAATGGACCTGATGAACCATTAGATACAAAATCAAAATTAGATACATGTCAAACACAAGTGAAACAAAAAGTACAAATGTATCTTTCTACTGACAATGGTCTCAATACCCGTGATTTGGTTTCTGAAAAACAAAAATCTCACATTAATATCATTCAATTAAATGTTATTTTTTAAAGTTTTCACTTAACGTATATGTCTTTTGACTTTAAAGTTCTTTTGGCTTTAAAGTTCCACAAAGTTTGTGCATATTTTATATTTGTGCACACTTATGTTTCATTAAAATAAAAGTAATTAAAGTCAACATTGTAGATCTGCAATATTTCTTTTCCTTTTAGAATGGAAAATAAGTTTCGGCTCCTAACAATTTTCCATGAGTCCACTCAGTGTCTGAAATAAACGTAACAAGCTTGAGAAATATCATTAAAGATACATATGACTCTGATTAAAGGGACATTTGCAAGTTACATTACTATATTGGTTCAAGTTTACTTTCTATATTTATAGAGTTAGAAGGAATCAGTGGCAGTCCTCTAATTCCTATCTTTACTGCATTTACCTAATGAAGAAATTCTATTCAAATTTAGTGGTTTATAATGAGGATTAAGATGACATTCGAATAACATTTTATCATTTGACCCCCTCTGCATGGGTATGTTTCTCTCTCTGTGCCCTTTAGAATACATTCCAGTACTTCCTCCATTGTACTTTCTCACTGGACCACTCAGTTACAACATAAATTCTTTTGGAAACATGAATTTCTTGAGGGCAAAAGCCTTTCCTCCTTTATTTTTATGTTCCCCAAGTACCTAGCTTCGTGCTGTGCACATTAGGAATGCTCAATAAAATATACGCAGGCACAATATTAGTTAATGCCAAAATAAGAGTTGGCTCCTAACAAATTTCCCTGATTCCACTCAGTGTCTGGAACAAGCTACCATTTTTGTTGTTGTTGTTGTTGTTGCAGCGGAGAAAAAGAGAATCAGAAAGCTGACATCAGATTACTTGCTAAAATAGACCCCACTGAGGGAAGTGCAAAGACAGGTAAAGAGGCAATCTTTTAAGGGGCGCCTGGGTGGCTCAGTTGGTTAAGCGACTGCCTTCGGCTCAGGTCATGATTCTGGAGTCCCAGGATCGAGTCCCGCATCGGGCTCCCTGCTCGGCAGGGAGCCTGCTTCTCCCTCTGACCCTCCCACATCTCATGTACTCATTCTCTCTCATTCTCTCTGTCTCAAATAAATAAATAAAATCTTTAAAAAAAAAAAAAAGAGGCAATCTTTTAATAAGAAAGCTCACAACTGTGGTAACAGGTTGCTAACCTATAGCGTGACAACCTCAGGAAGAAGCCACTAGCACTGCTGTATCTCGGATGCCCATAATATTTAGACCTTTGTAACCACTTCCTCAAGTGCACAGAATTGCCCCAGAAGATCAACTCTGGCCGAAGAGCATCTGAGGACAATGAACATGGTCTCAAGGCCGGAAGTCCCACAGAAAATACTCTCATTGAAACCAACCACCATTTCTGGTGAAGTTGAAGAAGGGACGTGATCAGAAACAACCAGAAGCAGCAACATCTTGAAACCACAAAACTCTCTGGATTGCAGACTCTGCACACAAGGTTCCTGCAGATACAGTTCAGTAATACCTTCAAAAACACATGTTTAAAAAAACTCCCCGAGGGCAATGTTAGAGAAATCCCGTGACATCTCTAATAGTGTAAGGCCAAGAAAGGAAAACTAGCATTTATTACTCAGTTGATCATTCATACTCTTTATTACAGTCCCAGAGCACGGTCTGACTTAAAGGCCAGGGCTATGCGATAGAAAGATCGACTTTTCTTGCTACTTCCCATTCGATCTGGAAATACAGGTCCATTGTGGATTCTCACGGACAAATAGAAACGGAATCAGCCTGGGCCCCCAAATAATTATCACTGATGCCTGGGGAAAGCTAGAGTAGTAGGGAGCAGGTTTGCTGGCTAGACCTAATTATCACACAAGAGGTATTACTCTCAACTCTTAATTCAGCTTTATGACATGTAGATCCTTGCACATAATATAGTGTTGTACAAATACCAATACCAAAAATTTTATTTAATTTGTATTCATTACATTCACCAATAAAATATTGTTAAAAGGCTCTTTTTTAACGAATATATTTGTCTTTGAATAAAATAATAAAACATTTTATTTTGGCTTTTATTTTAATGCCACACATACAAAAAGCTTCTTAGTATGATTACTGTCTTCCAGTGAGAGCAATAGTAGGAGATAGTTATCCATGGGGGGACAGTACTCACTTGAAGGAGGCAGTACTGACTTTTGGATGATGATTTTTCTAGCCGAGGAAATAAATCCCTTCTGAGATTTAAAAAAAGGAGAGGACAACTTGGTAGCATCACATTTACATGACAGATGAAATTAGAGGGAACGGTGGTTTAAATACAGCAGTTGGAAGCTAAAGCCATATCCACTGCAAAGAAAACCATAGCCATTCTACAGGAAAAGGTACATTAAGTGGAGTCTCAAGGAAGAGGAAGCTATATATGGACAGAAACTAAATAAACTGCTGGCTATCCTTTGGTTTAGGAGGAATCACAAGCTAAACAGGAAAAACACAATGTCAATAGATGTACCCATTTGAATCTCCTAAGGGCTCTTTTCCTCATTATATCATGGCAAGAATAAAGAAGGGGTATTTCTTTTAAGTGACTGTGCCACGGATGAGAAAGAATGCACGCAGAGCTACACTGGTGTTGAGGATCCTTGCCCAGGATATGAATAGAAGGTCCACAGTTACCTTTGACACACAATTACTCGATGGCTCTATTCCATGCATAAATCTTTTATCAAATATATCACTGAAATATGAGATTAAAGAACCGCAGCTGGTTCCCCACCCCTGCCTTTGTGGGAATGCCTCTTATGATGCAGTTTTTTGTTTTTTGTTTTTTGTTTTTTAAAGATTTTATTTATTCATTTGAGACACAGAGATACAGAGAGAGAGAGAACATGAGCCAGGAGAGAGGCAGAGGGAGAAGGAGAACCAGGCTCCCTGCTGAGCCAGGAGCCCGATGTGGGGCTCGATCCCAGGACCCTGGGATCATGACCTGAGCTGAAGGCAAATGCTTAACCATCTGAGCCACCCAGGCACCCCTATGATGCAGTTTTTAACCATATGAAACAGAATGTTCTCTTAGATATACAAACTTCCCCATTATGTTGTTGTGATAAGCAAAATGCTCAACTACCACTTTTCAGAAAATAAAAGCACACTGACACACACTCTGTGTAAGAGGAACAGCATTATCTCACTGATTTATGTCTTTGCTTCCTTCTACTTGTCATGATAGCATATGCTTTTTACGGTCAAATTCTGTAAATAATTTTAGAAAGGATAAGTGGAAAGTTATAAGTAAGTTGGAATAAGATGGAAACTTATTTCAAAACTTCTAAAATAATTTCTTACCGATAGACTACCATGTGAGATCTACATTACAAGAATGTGCTCAGCTGAAGACCCAGGGTGTCACTAAAAAATAAAAATCCTTACCAATCTTTAGGAGGTTAGAGACTTTTAAGACTCTGAAAAGCAGAAGGAAAAACAAAAACAAAACTGAAAGCTACCAACTGCGGCCAGCAGTTTTCCCTTCTGCTAGGATCTATTAAGGTCCTGTCAAATCCCTAAAGAATAATGATACTGTTGGATGCCTTGTTCAGGCAGAATAAATCATCCAATATCTCTGATGGTGGAAATTTAAAGATACGTGAAATTGCTGTAAATAATAATGTGGGGTGTAGAGCAAAAGTAGAAACCTTCTTGAGTTTCCTCTTTCTTGTTTCTTTTTTTTGGGGGGTGGGGTGGGGTACCTTGATAGGAATAGATACTGACTAAAAGCTTGTGTGAGTGCATGCATGTGTATGTGTGTGTGTGTGTGTGTGTGTTTGGGGCTAGGGCTGGTGGGAAAGAAAAAAAATAGAGTTCTTATTTTGTGGTTAGCAAAAGAGGAGATATTTATTTTTTGTTTTGTTTTGTTTTGTGGTCTGGAATCTCTAAGATCTCTCAGTGGACAACTGGGGAGTTTATTTCTGCAATATTATTAACTAAAACTTCTTACACAAGACTCTACAGTGGACCATGGATTACTGAACTGATTCCATAATATACAAATATACAAAATGAGATAGCTCATCTAATTTTTATAATTTTCTTGTGATTGAGAACAGCATGCTTGTTAGGTTGAGAAAAGCACTGAGACTTGGGTTAGATATTAACTATTGTAAAACTGGGATTTTTGTGTAGGCAATGTTTGTAGTCATACTTGAAATTACATTTACATGTAGCCTTAGCCTTTACAAACTTTAGAAGGTAATGACAATTTTTAAAGCTATGAGAGACTGACAGGAGATGGGGAGTGGGCAAAGTGGGGAGAGGGGTTCATAACCTATAAACTTCCAGCTATAAAATAAATAAGTCATGGGGATGTAATGTACAGCGTGGCAACTGTAGTTAATACTGTATTGGATATGTGGAAGTTGCTATGAGATCTTAAAAGTTTTCGTCATAAAAAAAAAAAAACCTGTAACAATGTGTAGTGATGGATCTTCACTAGACTTATTGGGATGATCATTTCACAATATATACAAATATTGAATCATTATGTTAAATGCCTGAAACTAATATAATATTGTATATCAATTGTACCTCAATAAGATAAAAGATATGAGAGAATAAGAACATAATAAGAAGAATTGGTAATTTATTTTCAAATCAACAAAAACATCTCTATCTATATCTGTGTATATATGTATGTATATACAATTCACTGTATGCAAAGTACTATTCTTGATATTTAAGCAGTAAGGAGGAGACATAATGAGTTGAATAAGATCCATATTTGTAAGGAACTTATAATCTAGTTGGAAAATAAAGCATAAGGACTTGAAAAGTCAAATTACAGCACAAAAGTCATATAAAAGACAGTGTGATACACTACATAATTAATTATCAATTAGTGTCTAGAACATAAGTTATTACACCTGGATGTGTCATTGGAATTAGACGGAGATGTTGTAAGATATTAAATGCTTGAGTTCTCCCCTAGACTTCCTGAATTAAATAACTAGACAGGGTATAGGAGGATAGGGGGTATAAATTCAGAGAAGGGAGAAGGGTTGGGGGGGAGAAGACCTGGCATTTTACACTTTACAAAGCTTCCCAGGTGATGCCGATGAAAATTTTGGTACAACTGAGTAGTACTGGAGAATCACGGCTGTGAGCCAAGATGGCACCACTGGACAAACATTTCTACCAGTAAAGGTGGCATATGAACCAAATGAGCTTTGAGTTATGTCAAATTTTCAGCAAAAACTCACATCTTTTTCCATCTCCACTGATACCTACAACACTGAGGTTGAGAAATACTAGCCTAGATCTTGAGAGCAAGAGCTCACAGTGCAGCTGAGAGGCTTAAAGGAGGGATAGCTTGCAGTGAGTTTTAAAGGAAAGACCTTCCTTGCCAAATGCACAAAAGAAAAACTTGCCAGGGAACAGGAACAGCATGTATTCAGGAAAGTAAAACTGGACTTAAGTGTGACGCACTGAAGAACTGTTTAGAAGAGTGGGTTCATGCATAGGAATACTGGATGGTGAAGAGGATCAGATTCCCTCCTTGGGTTCCACTGTGTTTATATTATGAAAAAATGTGAATACTGAGCCTAGGATTTTATAAGTCTCAAATCAGTGAACTCTTTTACTTTTGTTTACTCGAGCTACACTCAAAGAGGTTAGTGTCTTATTATTTTCATTATAATCTGCACATCAAGGATGTATTCTTGGCTATGAATTTTTATTTCTTTTTCATATTCCTTCTTTAAAGAGGGTGGTTCCAGGTTCTTTAGTAGTCAATCTTATTCAGTCTTCATACTTAATAGAGAAAAGTCAGGACTACAATGACCTGGTTGTTGATGACAAAGTCTTTGTGCACAAGATGTCTTTGTTCAGACTGCCAGAAAGAAAGAGTAAAATGTCCAAGATGATTATCAGTGTTCCTGACGACTTAATAGTTGGGGCTTATGGAACTTGAACCAAATACCAATACTGCAGTTACCTGAGTGAATGATTCCTGGTAAGATCAGGTTGACGCTCCTGTAGAATTTCAAAGATGTTGGGTTGGCGCAGAAATGCAACAATCTTGTCATTGTAAGCTGAAAAAAGTCAGAAATTATAGCAATACTTTAAAAATCTGTTATTAGGTTTACGCACATAAATCCAAACTTAAAAGTCAGTGTTTTTGGTTAATATTCCTTGTACTAAAAGTCATAGTTTGGAGCCACTACAGATGCTTAAAATCCTATTTGTGTCTACCTGTTATATGACTATTGGACTTAGATCTAGTAGGTGTGACTCAAGCACTAATTAAACTCATCTGCTAAGTCATATTTATTATCAAATTGCAGGATGAGATCACTAACAAGATTCTAGATATTGATAGTTTCTAGCTACTGCTTACCAAAAGCCTCATAAGCAACTGTTAGAAATGGAAAACTATCTTCTGATTAAGTATCAGCCATCCAGAGAGGTAAAGAGGCAGAATAAGAGTTGCCAAAATACAATAGTGCTCTGAAAACTGAAGACATTGATGAAAAAAACCGAAGATGAGGCAAATGAATGGAAAGCTATACCATACTCATGGATTGGAAGTCTAAACACTGGTAAATGTACATACTCCTCAGAGAACTCTGTACAGATTCAAAAAAATCCCTATCAAAACACCAACGTTTTTTACAGAACTAAAACAAACAATCTTAAAATTTGTATAGAACCACAAAAGACCCATAACAGCCAAAGCAATCTCATGAAAGAACAAAAAAGCTAGAGGTATCACAATCCTAGATTTCAAACTAAACTACAAAGCTATAGTAGTTAAAACAGTGTGGTACAGGCACAAAAACAGACACACACATCAGCAGAACAGAGAGCCCAGAAACACAACTATGCTGATATGGTTACTTAATCTACAATAAAGGAGGCAAGGATGTACAATAGGGAAAAGACAGTCTCTTCAATGAATGGTGCTAGGAAAACTGGGCAACTACATGCAAAACAATGAAACTGGCCCACTTTCTTACACTATACACAAAAATAAACTCAAAATGGATTAAAGACCTAAATGTAAAACCTAAAACTATAAAACTCCTAAAAGACAGTAATCTCTTGGACATTCGTCTTAGCAACATTTTTCTGATATGTCTCCTCATGAAGGAAAATAAAAGCAAAAATAAACTATTGGGACTACATCAAACTAAAAAGCTTTTGCACAGCAAAGGGAACATCAACAAAATGAAAAGGCAGTATACTGAATAGAACATATTTGCAAATCATATATCCAATAAGAGGTTAATGTCCAAAATATATAAAGAACTCATTCAACTCAACACCAAAAAAACCCACAAATAATCCCATTGAAAAATGGGCAGAGGACCTGAACAGACATTTTTCCAAAGAAGACATATAGATAGCCAACAGACACATGAAAGATGCTCAACATCAGTAATCATCAGGGAAATCCAAATCAGAACCACAGTGAGATATCACCTCACACCTGTTAGAATGGCTAGTACCAAAAAGACAGGAAATAACAAGTGTTGGCAAGGAAATGGAGAAAAGGGAACACTTATTTACTGTTGGTGGGAATGTAAATTGGTGCAGCTATTATGAAAAACAGTATGGGGGATCCTCAAAAAGTTAAAAATAGATATATCACATGCTCTAGTAATTCCACTAGATATTTACAAAACAAAACAAAAACACTAATCCTAAAAAATATATGCACCCTCTGTTCACTGTGGCATTATTTACAATAGCCAAGAGAGGGAAGCAACATAAGTGTCCATTGAGAGATGGATGAAGATGTGATTCTGTATATAATTCTATATATAATAGTACATTACCCTGCAATAAAAAAAGAATGAAATCTTGCCATCTGCAACAAAATGAATGGACCTAGAGAGTATTATCTAAGTGAAATAAGTCAGACAAAGACAAATATGGTGTGATTTCATTTTTACGTGGTACCTAAAAAAACAAAACAAATGAAAAAACAAACAAAATCAGAAACAGACTCATAAATACAGAGAACAAAATGATGGTTGCCAGAGGGAGGGGGCCGAGAGGACAGACAAAACAGGTGAAGGGGATTAAGAGGTGCAAACTTCTAGTCACAAAACAAATAAGTCACAGGGATGAAAAGTACATCATAGGGAATATAGTCAATAATACTGTAATAATTTTGTATGGGATATACACTGAGTAATGTATAGAATTGTGGAATCACTATGTTGTACACTGGAAACTAATATAACGCTGTGTGTCAACTATAATTTAAAAAAAAAAAAAAACAGTTGTCAGCAACAGCTACTACCAAAATGTAGAGAACAAACCATTCACAAATATTATGCAGAAATAAAAGCTATTTACCAAACCAACTATACCAACAGCTACAATACAATTGGCATTATCAACTATGTACATAACATCAAAATAAAAATGTATGTTTGTCAAGTCTGGCTAATGTCCACAAAAATTTAAAAATAATTAATTACAATTCATTAAGAGCTCTAATAATTAATTTCTCTTTGTTAAGAAAACTAATTGGCTTACTTAATATTATTCATCTTGATTATATGTTTCTAATCAGAAAAATATATTTAAACCACAGAACTGAATGTCTGGATTCTCAAACATCTGTGATCCTAGTTCAGGCAACACTCTTGTGTTCATAAATATGATCAAGGAACATGCCCTACTTTAACAAATGATCAGACAAAAGAAATATCATGCTTTAAACATTTGCCAGTTCAAATTTCAGCTGCATCATGCTGCCTTTGCAAACGTATTTTAGTTAAATGTGAATAAAATAAAAAAAACACTATCTGCTAACATGGAATCCCACTGTCAAGCTTGAAGTGTACCTATCAGTACATTTCATCATATATAAATAATGAAAACACTTTAAAAAATTTTTTTAGAAAACATTTTTATAACTGAAATTTTGTCAGTGAGTTTTTACATTCCATCCACAATCAGAGACTAGATAACTTTTAGAGTAACAATTTTATAAGATTTTTAAGTTCTCTGTGCAGTATTTAGTATCCTATTAGTAACAGCATAAATAGACTGTTAGACTTGGATCCAAGATTTCTTTTTGTCCAGTGTTTGTCAAATTTCTTTATATTTCATGTAAAAGTTTTCCTTAAAGAAGTGACAATTTTAAGGTAAAAACAGACCAATGGAGAGCTACTCAAATTTAAGATGAAGCCAGGAGCCCATACGGCCTCCTGCCATCTGTCTACTCCACCTGCCTCAGAGCTCCAGGTGTGAAAACTGACCTACTTCAACCTCATCGTGTGAATAATAATTCAAGTTGTTCTTTAGGCCTACTGCCCCAATTCATTTATTTTGGAGTCTCTTGCTGCCTTGTATTTGCTACAAATACATAGCTCTTTACCAAAACCTTAATACGCCATCATTGCTTTCTTATTGTGAGGCTACTTAGGTTCACACAGTACTTAAATTCGGTCCCAAGCATTAGATACATACTAAATATATGCTTGTCCAATGCCTCATTTGAAATGACCACATATTTACCTTAATAGCTTATTTTCCTTTAACCTCAACAATCTATTATAATAGCTCTACTAGAAAAGGTAGAGTAACATAAAAAAATCTCATCACATAGGATTTTATACGACATGAGTGCTTTGCAATTCAAATCAGTTTCTTAGGAATAATGAAACAGTTCTCAGTACAGGGCAAAAGTAGCAGGCTGACAGAGTGCATGATTCATACTGATATGAAAAGCGAAGATAAAGATTTCTGGAAAGGGATGACATACCCACTGGAACCATATCCTGGTACTGTGGCCTACTGACTGTATTGAACGTACTCGATGGCCTGGGAAGAACTGGTGGGCCTGTATGTCGAGAATCTTCTCCTACCTGCAAACCAGAAGTATCATTTATCTTGTGCACCAAGACCCAGAATGGTTTAAATCAACACACCAAGCCTAGTTGTTCAAAATACTTGATAACGAGCATCAAGGACCAGCTGATCAGAAAAGATGCCAGCTGAGGAGCCGACACAGGGTTCTCAGGAGTTCTGCTTTAGTGGCTGGATTGAGGGGAGGGGTTGGGACGTCCATGTCCTTGAGAGGGGCCGGGGCAGTGACCAAGGGGTACAGGGGTAGTTCCATATGCATACAATTATTGGAGCTGTAGAAGCTAAACAGCAGACCTGTTCACCAGGAATAACCTCTGCTTTGACAAAACAAAAACCTGCAACAATACATCAGAGAGGGAACCTGGGAAGTACCAGTACCAGGTTATTCCTTCCTTTGGCCAAGGCAGGTTAGGGAATTCCCTGCTCAGCGAAGGCTGAAGAGCAGCCGGCTTCGTGTGGGGTTCTGAGTTGGTGTATTATCTCCTCAGGAGCAATTTTACACGCCTATTAGAGCACCCAGTACAACAGCTCTTTCTGGTTTGAACCTCCCACACCAGGGAGCTAATCATAGCAGGTGTGAAAGAGCTAAATAGGGTTGCCCCAACCTGAATTATTTATTGTACCTATTACAGATTTAGAAACTCATACATACAAGTCAATCAACAAAAATGTCCTTTATTAGTCTTCTCAGTAAACTCCAGCATTGCTTTAGCTTCTGTTTTAGCAGCCCCTCCCCATGTTACAGAAGTCTTTTCAGACAACAGTAGAAAAGAAGTATTAGAGAGTAAGAGGGAAAAAAAGGCAAAATAACATATTGGATTTATAAATTGGTACTTTAAAAATAGAGCTTCTAATCCCACTCATTCAATCCTTCACAACCATTTTATCACATTGTATCTGTGAGGTGTTTGGCGAAGGTTTTTCTAAAGGCCCTAAAACTAAAAATACTGTTCCCACTCTACACTGCTTGCTCATCCCTCAAGAATACTCTCACTCATTCTTCACAGTGTAGTTCAAAGAGCCCCTCCTCGATGAAGCCTTTCCTTCTGTTCAGGCTGACTTTAAATGTACCCTTCTCTGAGCTCCCAAAGCACTTGGTATACATTTCTTAAGCAGCTGCCATTATTACCATTTTATAAAGTGTTTTCATTCATATTTTTATTCATTTGTATTACGGTTAGTTTCATATATTTGCTCCTTAATAAGAAAAAGAAACCTATGTTATTTGTATCCTTCACACCAACCACTGTGTCTCTACACTGCCCATGTTTGGTAAGAATTTCTCTGTTGGATGGAAGATATACCAACATTTCTACTACCTGTGATATTTGCTAAACGAGGATAAGAGAGTAGATGGAAGGCCTCCTGTGTATGACTGGAAGTTTCTCGCTGTTTCTCTTGAATTATTGGCTTTGAAGGATAAAGTCAGCCACTCTCAGAGGAGATTCGATCATTAACAACACCTTGTTTGTCAGTCACAGAATTTATCACTTCAGTACACGACACATACTTTCCCTCCTTGTCAGTCTGTGGCCAAGCGTCATTATTTCCCAGAAGAGACAAATGTCTTCTCTTCAACACCCCACTTCTTCAAACCAGACTGTAAGACAGGGGGCAAGGCCAGATAAGTGTGCGGAGGACTGCAGGCGGTGCCCAGAAAGCACATTCCCATCACTGGTCTGGCAAGGCTGGGGCTGCCTGCTGAGTCTTTGTGGGGTTATCTCGGTGGCATTGCTCAGTCTCCATCAACACGAAGAGATATCCTCACTGAAATTTGAATGTGTACCTTAGGATCCCTCTACCACAACAGGCTGTTACTAGACCATGAAAATAACTCAAGTGCTGAGACAGAGGAATTGAAAGAAAAAGGAAGGTAGCTATAAATCTCATGCATGTGGCCCCGACCAGACCCAGCAGCCAGCTCCGTACTGTGAAGTCAAGATAAGGCCAAGTGGCTAAAGTGCACTGGCCTTGTGATAAAAGTCAGGCAGGGCCCTAATTACGGTACGTATCACACACAAGGTCCAAAGGTGAGAGGTCTGTTCTGCTTTTAAGATGAATGCTGTTTGCATCATCCAGTTCATCACTAATGGTTTCCATGGCAGCAAAGTAAAGATTTATCAACTACTCATAAAATATAAATATTTCTGTGCATACCTCATCCTGCAATAGATTTATAGATCACTTTTATATGAGCTTCTCAAGTATACTCTCCTATGTCTGCACTTATAATCAGCAAACACACAAGTATGTAAATCACAAGGGGAAATTCCAAGAGTAGAATTTTGATGAATAAAATCCAGTTATTTATCGCATTCATAATTTTTCTTATAAGAGAGGTTACAAAAATATTTGATCTACAATATAATACTGAAAATATAATATGCACATAGACATGGAAAAGGCATGTAGGAAAAGAATCTTAATTCTTTCTGCCTGAGCAAAATTTTTAGAAACAATGTATACCAAGCAATGATAAACATTCAAGGCATAAAGCCAGTATTAAAGAGAAAAAAAGTTGACTTAAAACACTCCTTTTATTTAAGCTACTAAAGAAAAAGGGAAACAGGAAGTGATTCTTTTTTTTTTTTGGTTAGGCTATTCGAGAGCCCCCGTGTGGTTACCACAGGTCACTGCAAGCCAGCAAAGTTAAAGCGAGGTAGAGCTGTTGGTGATTAATTCCGCCCATTTTCTCTGGGCTCTTAGAGTACATGGATCAACTCTCAGGGGACTTTAAAGAATATTAGTGAGGACACCACCACCCCATAGCATTGGCTGAAGATTTTAACCAAATCCAGCAACCCTCACTTCAAAAAGCTCCCTGTATGTAACTGACATTTCGCCCACTAAAAGTTACATGTCGAACCTTCTGCAGTCCATAAGCGTGATGATTGGGTGTTCACGCCTTTGCGTGACACGAGCCCCCCTCAAACCTCGTTACGACTCGGCGCAGTACCCGTCCGACGTGGAGAAAAAAAAAAGTTACATTTATTTTTTCCTATGAAGCTGCCCTCAGGTATGTACGCAAAAGGCTTTACCGTCATCCTCTCTGGAACATTTCCTACCATCGAGAATTTTCTCTAACCAACTTCTGAATGCAAAAAATTCTCTGCATTCTTCGATCTTTCCTCATATATCCGTCTTTTAAAGTTCGTAAATGAGGCTCTGTGTATTTCCAGAGAAGCCCTGTCAACACTGCGACACTGTCCAGTCTCCGAGTGATACGCTCTAAACCAAACTAGGAAAACAGAACAGAACAGAACAGGAACAAAAAGCCCGCCCGTTTCCGCAGCGAGCGCATCCCCGCGGCCGCCACGACGCGCTTGCCGAGGGCGGGGGGCGGGGGACTCACCTCGCCGGCGCTGTGGCTGCGTTGCCTCGTCAGGTGCTGCCGATGAACCAGCGCGCTCGTGGGTCTACTGCTCTGGAGCGGGAGCCGGGGGTCGATAAAAGTGGTGGTGCGGGAGTTGTGGTCGACAAAAAATGCCTAGGAAACAGTCCCCTCAGTCAGTCTTCAATTCGTGCCACACACCTGTCTTCGCTGACCTATCACAGCACACGTTCAGGAAAAGACCCACTTTCGAGTAATGATCTCAGCTCCATTTTCTCATAAATTTAATCTTTGCGGAGCATTATTCCTGGTTTTAGGAAACATCGAAGACACAGTCATCAAAGACAGGATCTTAGCTAGGAGCCCTATGAAAGGACACTTGGGCTTCTCTTAACTGGTGCTCTTTAAGCTCTTACTGCTCTCCACGGTTATTACAAAGTTCTTATCACCTGACACTTCAGCCTCATTGACTTCTCCTACACTGTCAGCCCCCAGGCTCCCCACTTTCCCAGAGTAGTGTCTCCTCCGTTTGTCCCATCCCAGCCTGATGACCATCCTAGTTTTTCAGGGCTTTCTCTTACACATGCAAGTATTAGTAGTCTTCAATTGTTCCAAATCTCCACAACCTTACTCACTTAACTGGTACCTCAGTATCGAATATTCTTTCTAAGTGCTTTGATTACATCACAGCTCCAATCCAAAGCTTCCACTGGCTACCCATGATCTAGAAAAAAACATTCCAACAAAATGTGGCAGTTTTCCAAGATTTTAAAATCTCCTTCCCATTTGCCTTTCCAGTTTAATTGGTGATCACACATTCCATACAAATTCTATCACCTGCAATGACTTTGGGCAAGCCACTTTAAGTTCCCTGAGCTGTAGAATTCTTACAAAAACATTTCTCCCCCCATACTGTGAAAGGAGGGAGGAATCATGTCTATGGTGTTTACTGCAGAATCCTTGATTACTGAAATCACAAATGAGCATAAACCGTTTCCCTCACTGTTGCAGTAAGGACTGCATATAACGTAGAAAAGCCTTTTAAAATTCTTTTTGTTTAATTCTGAAGCTCTACACCAGTGCTATTTATCGCTGTCATTAGGAGCCAAATGGTGTAAGTCTTTAAAGTAAAATTCGCTCTAGGGAATAACGAAGCCCATTATCTCAAGGACAATTAGAAAATGTAAGTTTTCCATGATCAGATAAAGTTTATTAGGTCATCAAGATAAAAGAGACTATTAGGAGAGCCAGGAGACACACTACCTATTAGTCAAGTGTCAGGGCACATGATATATGCCAATAATCTAAGCGAAAAGGAACTGACTTCTCAACCTGATGGAGCTCAGTTAACAAAGTACCTGAAAGACTAGGAAGGAAAACACCTAGGCAAATCCCAGGTTTAGATGATACATTTATGTCTATTAAAAAAAAAATCACCTTTCCATTATGAAACAAAATATTTCTGTATCTACATAATCAGGAAACAGGCAAAACAATTTGTAGGTAGCTCCCAAATAGGGAAAAAAAATACACATATTTCTTTGTAAGGAAATAACTTTAAGCAGTAGATGCACTAGAAGACAAAGCAGAGAAATATACTGATTGAGAATCCTTGCCAGTCCTTCCTTTATTCCTTCCTATTTATTTTAATTAATTAATTAATTATTATTATTTTTTACTATGTTCACTTAGCCAGGATATAGTACTGTATGCTGGCTAGTCCCTTCTTTCAATATCTGATTTCCAGGTACAAAGACTGAATTAAGTGGAAGTCTTGTAGGAGATGATGCCATCAGCCTCACATCCCTGGGTAATGCTCCCTTTTTCCTAACAGGTCAGGTGGAACATCTGTGTTCTCTCATCTTGTAAAAACAAAACAAAACAAACAAAAAAACCCCAATGATAAACTCTATATAGGCTTATATTGGCAGGTTCTGGTCCCAAACGTCACACTGGTCCCCGTTTGATTTGGGCTTCTAATACATTTATACATCATTTCTGCCACTATTCAAAATGTCATACATAGAAATTAAATTATTTTTACAAATGGACATTTCAAAATAATAAATATCATAATCAGCCACATATCTTTATGAAATTAAGTTTTTATTAGTAAAGCAATAATATAAGCCATGTTTTTTAAGGGAAAAATACAAAGAGTGCTAAAATAGAACTGCTTATTTACCTAATTTCTTAGGAATGTTTTGAAGGGATGGGTAACCATTTAGAGGTAACAATGATGCACTTGTAATTATAAGGACAAATGGGTGTGTACATCTAGGTCAGCTGTGATTTATATGCAGTGTCATAGTATAATTTGATATTAAGAGGCTTGTCTAAAACTAATTCTCTGAAGAATTATACTGTAAATGCCTTGAGGGCAAGGACTCTTTCTTACTCATCCTGTTATCCCTGATAGCTTTTGGAACTGCATCTGGGGGAAAGATGGGGCTTAGTAAATAAACTCTAAAATGCTAATATCTTGACTAAAGTACAGAGTGACAACTCATAATGACCTAATCAAGTAATAAAAGTCATATTCTTTTACATAAGCATAGAAATACTTAAAGATCTTAAAAAAATAAATGAGATGTGTATGTGTGTGTGTGTGTGTGTGTGTGTGTTAGGTGAAAAGCTTAGAGAGTTAAAGACTATAAAACCACAGATAGGATAGAAGTTTTTAAAACATCCCATTGTAGAAATGGATAAACTACCAAGTTAAAACTTGAGAAGTGGGAGGCAAAGTAGTAATTAAATGGTTGGGATCTAAAAAAAGACAAGGCTGGTTCTGAGCATTACCTCCACCACTTACTAGTGACATAACCGTGAGCAAACTACTTAACTTTTTTAAACCACAATATCTTTTCTGTGAAATGGGGATAATAACACCGACATCAAAAGAAGGTTAAATGAGATGGTTCTTATAAATTTTTTTAACATGGTGCCTGAGACCTCTTAAATGTTACTATTATTAGTACTAATAATATGTTTTAGCTTCTAAGACATTTTTCCCAGGATCACAATGCATCTTGCTACATTCCATACACAACACTCAAAAAAATGGAGAACTAGGGAAACTAGACTTCCTGAGCTCCTTGTAAGTGTATGTGGCCCAGACTAAGTTATGGTCAATGTGATGTAAACAGAGTGTCACATGATACTTCTGGAAAACCTCCTTACAAGGAGATTTTTACAAGGTCAAGCCGTCCCCTGTCCTTCATCTTTTCTGCTCCCTGGGAGAAGGATGTAATTGGTGGAGCTCCAGCAGCCATACAGAACCATAAAGATGAAAGATGGTTGAGCAGAAATTGGAAGAGGCCAAGGCTCTCACAACTTGAGAAATCACCTCAAGAGCCCCAGACTGTCTACCTCCGAACTCCTTTATGTGAGTGAATAAAATCTTGTGTATTAAACTTTGTATGGGTCTCTGTCACAATGCAGCCAGAACAAATCCTAACTGATATACCGAAGTCTCCGCAACTCAGAGGAAACATGGTCTTTCTTAAATTCAAAGCATAGAAGAACACATAAACCAGCAACCACCATTATAAATAAAGATTTTCATTATTCGGTAAATAATGATATCTCGTTGTTCACCTTCAATATAGTTGGGTAACAGTTCTGATTTAAGTGAGATGTATAGTTGGGATCCTATAGAGCTGGGATTTGAATTTATCTTTCTGTCTGACTCTAAAGCCCAATGAGTAGTACCTCTTTCCCCTCGGTCTCCTTTTCATATATCTTTTTGTTTCCATTCTGCTTTCTGCTCCCTATCTTTTCCTTTTCATGTTCCTCTCGCTCCCCTCATACTGTATGCTGTACAGGATTTTGGAAAGCATTTAAGTATTTATTGAATTAAGTTGGCAATAACATACACTCACAGTGCTGGGCCTTAATACCGTTTCACCACTGAAAAGGCTGCCACTGCCAGACCGCACACTGTACGTACTCTCCACAGTTTGCACTGTTAACCAGCTGGAGGCATGGCTGTAGGTGGGGAATAGGTGATATTTGTATCCCACAAAGGGTTCAGTTTCAGAGTCAAATAGAATGTGCATATTGTTGACACATGCTTTCTAAGTCTGCCACGTACTTGGGGAGAAAGATCTTGATTAAGACCTCTATCAAAATCCTATCATGGTGATTAACATAATAATAAAAAATTTTAAAAAATCCTATCACTATAGCACTAAGAGAATGCAGCACAAAGAAACAATTACTTAGCAGGCATTTTGCCTTTGCCCCACCCACTGGGTGACCATGGACAGGTTTCCTTGGTGCTTTGCTTTATCCCCATAAAGGGGACTACTCAGGTCACAGCTGAGTTGTGAAAAATGTATTCTACTTTAAAGTAGAATAAATAAATAAATAAATAAATAAATAAATAAATAAATAAATAAATAAAGTAGAGAGAAAAGCATAGAAAAATTACCATGCAAAATTTAGGTTCGCCATTTCTATTTGTGACACACAAATCAATTATGTCAGAAAAGTGGATCATTTTCCCACAGGATATCCTAAGTAGTTCAAGCCAGTAATGCAGTTGACCTAGTACTTTTTTTTTTTTTTTAATTTGGGTCATTTTTTTCTGTCACCATCTTGAATAGCCTGCCTTTATTTATGGAAGCATTTAGCACGTATTAATAAATTCTGTGTGGGTAAATAGCATGTTGAGAATGTAGACTATATGAAAAAAACAGCTGTATCAAAAAATGGGTCTTTTTCAGATTAGCCATAGCAAAGCAAATTTTGAACAACATAGACTCCCTACTGTTAAGTTTTATTAAGGAAATTGACTCAAGCTTCACAGTGCTGGACCAACTAAGACTAACAACACAGTCAAAAACTGAAAGGAATGCAAATACACAAACTCAGATCTCATTTGAAAAACTTCTTCCCTTTCATTGCTTCAGGGCATGGTTGAGTCAGGAAATATGGGCTGGTTGGAGCCAAGTGGTATTTTAGTGAAGCCAAACAAAATACGCTTCTCTCTTTAAACAATTCTTTCTTTTTATTTTTTTAAGCTTCTATTATTTTAAAAAAAAGAAAAAGCCATCAGTATTTGTGAAGAAATACCAACCTCAGCCTCAACAAATCTAAGTTACAGAAGTTTGAAATTGTTTCCTGTTAACATTCTGCCAAACCAGGAATCCATA